CTACGAGAGTTCATGTCTCGCTCTGCTTTGCTCGCGGCTCGACTTCTTGAATAAAGACGGCCCCGCCCCTCCCCTCATCCGCTACGAGTGGATTTAAGAGAATGCGCACAGCATTTTTGATCTACCTGAGTGTTACACATAAAGATCATCAAAACTCCTGTGTAACAGCCCTGGCCCCCGGAAAACATTCCCGCTAGATGGAACAGGGCGTGGCCATAGGGATGGTTTGCAGAAGGACAGTTGTCACAACAGATGCCTCCAACTCAGGTTGGGGGGCGCTGTGCGAGGGACAACTCTCACTGCCCAATCTATTTCTCAAAGACCCACGATTGGCCCAACCTCCTTCTTATGCTTTTCCCCCGATCGCTCTGATCCCACAGGTAATCAGGCGAGTGAGGGAACGAGAACACAGGGTTCTCCTGGTGGCCCCCCTTTGGATGAACCAGCTGTGGCTATCGGAGCTAACTCAGCTATTGATAGCGGCCCCTTGGCCTGTTCCGCTGAGACAGGATCTCCTCTCTCAAGCGAACGGGACATTATGGCATCCTCGGCCCGACCTATGGGCCCTGCACCTCTGGCCGCTCGACGGGAGCCTTCGTGCCTCCCAGAGCGAGTCTTAAACATAATTTCGGAGGCTAGAGCTCCATCTACAAGACGCCTCTATGCCTTAAAGTGGTCTTTTTTTTCTCCACTTGTAGTCTAAACCGCGGCAAAGACCCTCATACTTACGGTTTGACAGAGGTGTTGTCATTACTGCAAGAGCTGCTGAATAAGGGACGTTCCCCATCCACGCTCAAAATCTATGTGGCTATAGCGGCCTCTCATGCCCCTAGTGAGGGACAATCGGTGGGCAGAAACAGCGCGGTCATCCGCTTCCTAAGGGGTGCCAGGGGGCTGAATCCGCCTCGTCCCACTACCGTCCCTTCATGGGATCTGCGCACTGTGCTGAGGGCCCTGAAGGGCCCCGCTTTCGAACCGCTACAGTCTGCCAACATTCGGTCGCTATCGCTGAAGACTGCTCTGCTTCTAGCACTGGCATCAGTAAAGAGCTCTGAGAATCTATATTGAGCGTTCCGCCCCCTATAGGCGGTCGGAACAACTCTTTGTCAGCTTCGGTAACCACACCAAAGGGCTTCCGGTCACGAAGCAAAGACTCTCTAGATGGATGGTAGACTCCATCTCGCTAAGCGTACTCTTCCTTGGGCCTCCAATGCCCCATTGGAGTGCGGGCCCACTCGACTAGAAGCATCGCCTCGTCTTGGGCATGGTCCAGTGGTGTGTCCATTGCGGATATTTGTGAGGCGACCGGCTGGGGTCTAGCAGACACAGTACGAGTGTAGTATCGAAAGGGAACGTACTCTGTTAATAACGTAACCTCGGTTCCCTGAGATACGGGAACGAGGACTGCGTTGCTAGCCATGCTATGTAGCTGCATGACTCAGTCATCGCTTCAGTCGAAGTAACCTGAGAATCCTGTGGCGAACGCCCGCTTATATAGCCATCCCTCTGCGTCACTCCATTCTTCAGTCTCTGTTCCAGATTTATTTTCCCCCCTTTCACAGGTGTGACATTCCACACTATTCCTCCTGGATCTTTTCTGAGATCAGCGTGGTGTGTGTGTGTGTTTAAGTTTGCACTCATCCTTTTGGTCTTCAGGTCGGGCAGGAGATCTAATGTTATCTCTACTAATTGTCACACGTTTGAAGATTTCCTCAGGCTTTGTGTTAGTCTGAGAGTAGTGTAGGGGAACATGATTTAGTTGGTTGAGTCTTCGCAGAACTGTATCAGTGTCCACATTGAAGTCAGTGAAAGACCTCCGTCACCTCTGCCTCAGACCTATCTTACCTTGGTGGTCTGAGCCTGGCTTCTCTCTTAGAGTAGTGAGAGAGAGAATGAGCCAATGGCATGGTTATCTGTATTATGAAACACATTCTTAGTGTGAAGAACCTGTCCTTGTCCTCTAGTTCTTGTTTTCCTATATATCTTATCTCTTATATTTCACACAGTTTGGGAAGTCTGTAATACCAGGAGAGAGCTGTATCTGTTAGCATTCCCATTCATCTCAGTGGCACAGACACCTTTAATGGAGTAAGATATTTGTGAAAATTTAAATTATTCTTTACTCATTCCAGAGATGTCGTTTCAAATCCTTATGCTGTTATTTTAGCCCACGGAATACAAAGAGAATTTTAAAAAAGGTCCGTGCTCCTCTACAGAAACACTTCTAAGTGACCATGGCTATCAAACTCAAAAAAAAATTTAAATTGTAAATATTATATTTAGCCTATACAATTTATATAGACTGTGTGTACATTATATTCTTATTATTCTTATGAAGCCTTATGATAGCTTTGTATGAAGAAGAGACTAAATTTACTATATCTATATCCAGCATAGCTCTCCAATCTCAGTTGAAAGATGGAACCAGAAGAATTTATATATATATATATATTCTGTATTCTTAATATTGTAAATATATATAATGTGTGTGTGTATATATATATATATATATATATATACAGTGCCGTGAAAAGGTTTTTGCCACCTTCCTGTTTTTTTTTTTTTGCATATTTGTCACACTTAAAAGATTCAGATCACCAAACAAATTTTAATATTACACAAAGATAATGCAAGTAAATACAAAATGCAGTATTTAAATCATGATTTCATTTATTAAGGGAAAAAAGCTGTCCAAATCTACCTGGCCCTACGTGAAAAATTAATTGCCCCCTCCTGTTAAATCATGAAAGAACGGCAACGATTAAAATTTTTAATCGCATGATTTTCTGCGTTTAATCGCATTATGCACAAAAAATCAATAATGCATTCAAAGGTAGTGTATTGCGCACTTTTTTTCATTTAAAAGTACTGATATATGAACAAAAGTGCAATAACATTTGGTTTGCAAATACTTTAAACTAATTTTTTTACAGCAGTATTCCTTTTACGTAGTAGTAGTTAAACTTATAACATTAATGTAATCAAATTAAATATAAAACCAAAGCTATTTGCCACTGCCAGGGCATTAACGTTTTTATAGAAAATATTTTATAGTTTGTTATAAAAAACAAGTTCATGCTCAGAGTCCAGAGCCTCGATCATAACATTTATAATGGGCACCTTCCGAGTAGAGACCTGCACTATCGCGGGACCCAACGCAGCAGAGTGCAGCGTGGGACAACACTTGATGGGCGAGTGCGGGTAGAGACTCGTTTATAATAATAAAATTAATGTGTGATAAAATAATTGTCGGCGTTAATCAATTAACGCGATAACGCGTTAACTTGCCCAGCCCTAATATATATATATATATGTATGAAAGTATGTATGTGTGTGTGTATACTGTATGTGTGTGTGTATATATACAAAATTAAGCAATTTTTTCCTCCAAGTTGAAGCGAAAATCTGATATGGCAATAATCTTAAATAAAACAACAGCCAATTCAAATATGCTGTATGATATGGTTTCAAAAAGTATGGACTACTTTGGGATAATTTTATGTTGCTTTTTTGCCATTATACAGCTTAACAGCCCATGGCCACTTTTTCCTACAGTAAATGACGTTGACATGTTTAAATTTTGAATGAATGATCCCCTAAATGTACAGTGGCAAAAACAGGCAATTTAATTATAGGGCTAGAAAAACGGTGGAAATGATGGTGATTTTCCAAACTAGATCACAGCTATTGTGGAAAAATGCTACAAAACTTTACATTATGCTTTAAAGCCAATTAATTTAGTCAGTTGAAAAATCTCCAAATGAAAAATGTGGTGAAGTTCAGTGGTCTGATTGTTTTGAAGATTTCATCAGGATCTCGACTACCTGAAGTGTAATGTGTCTGACCAAAGAGCTTTGTTTTCACTCATGGAGTCAGATCAGTTGAGCTCAGTGTGAATCAGCTGCTCTGTTTTCTGTCAAAATGTAACTGTGACTAACAGTAATAATGTACAGAAGTATCAATGTCAAACTAAATCATGATGGCATGAGTGATGCTGCTTTAATGACTGCGGTTCACCCTGCTCTCTTTATCTTTCTCCCCTTTTTTCCACATTCTCTCTCCATCAGACGCTAAAGCATCTTCGCACAGCTGAGTTCAAGCCCTATGTGGCGTTTGTGAAGCCTCCATCCATCGAGCGTTTGAGAGAGACCAGGAAGAGCGCAAAAGTCATCTCAGGCAAAGATGATAAGAACTCGTCCAACCCCTTCTCGGTAATACACGCCACACACAGCTTTGACTTCAGTCTGTCCATCTATCATCCTCTCTCATCCTAATTGGATCACTTTTCTCTCTCAGTAGGTCATTGTGGGTATTAGGTTATGTTCACTGAGTTTTCATTTCACTATCTCACATAGTTCTTGGTGAAAGAAGAAATAGATTTCATCACTTACTGGCAACATTCACATCATTTATTATAGTAATTTTCCTTTTGGACCTTGCAAACAACTCCTGGTTTAGTGCGTTAACGTGTGTGTGTGTGTGTGTGTGTGTGTGTGTGCACCTCGTGTGTATATGTGTTTATGTGTAACCGCTCCCCTGAGCATCAACCTGATATGAGACCCATAAGCTCACACTACACCTGTATGACTGCACTCAAAGAAAACACATGAAATCAATTAACACGTACACCAGACCCTTACCCTGTCCTGCCGTTAGTTTGTGCTATGTGTGTGTGCGATATGGTGTTGAATATGCGGGGTATCTAATGACTTTCCCAGAGTTCAGCTCTTTCCTGTGTATCTCGCTGTGTGTCTGCACCGGGGCCAAGCGCGCTTGGTACAGGATAAGTGACCCCAGGAACCCGACTCCACCACACGCAGAGATGGCTTGATGCCGATTGTTACCGCAGAGACGTTCTATGTCAAATGTTGTTAGGAGCTCCAAACACATGCTCACCTGTCAACCTGTTGACCCAAAAAGTGTTCAAATGCAATACATACTATTTTTCCGTCTTTTGCACAACACAGACCAGCAACAGTCACTCATGGCAATTTTGCACAATGGTTCAACTGGATGCTAATCATTTTAAAGTTATTTTTATGGGCTTTTTTATGCCTTTTATTAGGATAAAATTTAGGATAAATTTTTATATGGAAATATTACATGACACACTGATCCTTTGGGGCAAAAACGCACACCTTTTGGAAACATGATTTCTCGACTGCCACAAATATTACCTAAACAAATTAATGATTTTGTGCACTTTTTACTGTACCAATATTTTAAATTGGCCTTTGAACTTAGCTTTATTGCATGGCAAAAAAAAGTCTTACCTTGCCAAAGCACTGACAAGAACCTATTGATCTAATGGCATTGTTGAGCGCTTCAACTTTGCATGCAACAATCAGAGACAGCAATTGACAGCGCTCTGATCCAATGGCATACAGGCATCTTCAGATTGACAGTACTCTAGCCCAATGATGTTGGGGGATCCAGTGGGGGTGGCAATAATATTTCAGGGTGGCCGTGCCACTCTTTATCACAACCCTCCTAAAATATAGTGCCAGTACGTGCATTCATTGGCGCCCCCTCCAGCTGGTGGCGCCCTAGGCGACCGCCTAGCTTGCCTATGCCTAGAAACGGTACTGAACATAGGTTAAACTAGTGCACGTATGCATTTAGAGTGCCTTCTTTCACTGCATGAATCAGTCTATGAAAATGCATTTAGAATTATCACATCATTCAAGATATGGGGGCAGAAAATGTATATATTTATATCATTTCATATCATATCACACGAAGAGTGACATTTTTTTCTCTAAAAGTCAGCATGTTTACAAATGTGATATTGATTTTATGCAACAGTTCAATAAACAAGAAGTTAATATTAAGATATTTACGTTTTAGACACCATATTGCCTGCTTTTGTTCTATTTTGCCAACAAAAATCATTCCAAACAAAGCCACAGCACTGTTTTGCGTCTCTGAGCAACATGACAGTGTTTCTTTCCTGAATGAATCAACCGTTTAAATGATTCGATTCAATCGCAATG